TCAGTCTCTGACGATGTGTAGAAGAGACGACTACCCGAAACTGCAAGAAGTTTTATGAAGGAATAAGTTAAGTAGTCTCTTTTGTGTAAATACACTTCTTCGTTCTATTGAGAGGACACGAAAGCTGGAACAAGACATTTCTTTGCCAAACGTTTCAGTATCCTAATCGAGTCGGATACAGCAAGTTGACTAACCAAGCAGGATTTCCTAAGTAATTAACCTAGAATCCACCAGATGACTACCAGGTACAGGCAATTCATAGAAGTGTTGGCAGATTTTCAATAACTCATATTGACCCAACTGTGAAAAACTCGACGCCGCAGTGGGACTCGAACTCACGTAGTAAGGGGAAGGCCTTTTTATAGCCAACACTCTAACCAGCTGAGCTACGAGGCCCAACCTACTGCATTGTCTGGAATTCACCAAATGTGATACAGTTAGTTGGCTACCCAAACAGGATATCCTAAGTAACTAACCTAGAATCCACCAGATGACTTCCAGAAACACGTAATTCATAGATGTTTTGGCAGATTTTCAATACTTCATATTGACGCAACTGTGAAAAACGCGGCGCCTCTGTAGGATTCAAACCCAGGCAGTAAGGGGAAGGCTTCAGTACTGCCAACACTCTAACCACTTGAGCTACGAGGCCCCGCCGGACGACGCGTGTCTAATCACATTTGGGTCAAGTTACCCTCCCGCCCCCCCAACCTTCTGCAACGTCTGGAATCCACCAAATGTGATACAGTAAGTTGATTAGCCAAGCAGGATTTCCTAAGCAATTCACCTAGAATCCACCAGATGGCTATCAGGCACACGTAATTCATAGATTTTTGGCAGATTTGGCAGGGCTTTGTAGCCCAATTGGTTAGAGCGTTGTCTATACTAAAGCATTCCACTTACTGCGTGAGTTCGAATTTACTGCGGCGTCGAGGTTTTCACAGTTGGGTCAATATGAATTATTCAAGATCTGCCAAAACCTCTATAAATTACGTGTGAATGGTAGTCATCTGGTTTATTCTAGTTGAATAGGAAATCCTGCTTGGTCAGTAAACGTACCGTATCAGATTTGGTGGATTTCAGATGTTGTAGTAGGTTGGGCGGGTAACCTGACCCAAATGTGATTAAACTCGCGTCGTCCGGCGGCGCCTCGTAGCCCAGCTAGATTGAATGTTGGCTGTACTAAAGCCTTCCCCTTACTGCCTGGGTTTGAATCCTGCAGAGGCGCCGAGTTTCTCACAGTTGGGTCAATATGAATTATTCAAAATCTGCCAAAACACCTATGAACAGCTGATAACGTTTAAGCATGCGCAGAATTGCAGCATTTGTGCGACGCTGCTGCTATGCCACTTTATATCCGTCCCACGTAGCTGCTTTCAAATCCAGCACATGTGACTACACTTAACACTCTGATTGCTTGTTTGCTAGTCCAGAGATGAGACGCTAATTGCCATAGACCATTCAACAGCGTCTGTTTGCACATTCAGAGTTGAAATTCTCGCAAAAATTGACAACCGCGAGCGCAGCGGTACGTTTTTATTATGGTCCTCTCGTACGTGAACGATTAGCAGACGCAACGACCTCTCCCGTACTCTGTGTGCGCTTAGAACTGTCTAGAGAGAATAATTAGCTACTAGGGGCGTGCGCAAACACTGTTCCTAGAGGCGCTCGCGGTGAACCAAAATGCGGAGTAATGATCGCACAAATAGCCAACGCAGTGATGAAATCCCAGCTATTAACCACTCGGCTGCCGGCAATAGAAAAATAATTGCACCACAATTCAGCCATTTGCAGACAACGCTAACGATAGTATGCTTGCATGGGAGTATGGTAGCAGAGGTTGCGCAAACAGTGCCATTACCTTATGTGACCTCCGAAGATGGTTTTGCACTATCAGATGAATGTAACTTTCGTTCCAACAACGACCTCGCCTTCTTTCTGGCTTTTTATTGGGACTTTTATTATCGCTCATGTTGACGGACGTTCTACCGAACATCCACATCGACTGTGAAAGGTATCGTATAAAAATAGTAATATATTAGACGTCCGAAGGCAGTTAATATGCAGTGGCTTTCATTGTACTGAAACGCTCCGATTATTCAACAAAATATGCTGCAGCTGAAGGTGGAGTCGTTACAGGTTCTGTGCAATAGACATTTACCTAAGTTTTGGTTACAGTTAGTACGGTAATTAATAGCGTCTATATGACATACGGTATGCATCTAGAATGCGCATATAATTGAAAACGACTTGGTCACCATCAAACAAACATAAAATTGGGAAGTTTAAGTTTTGTCAAACAGCAGGAAGTGGAAAGCGTAACATAAATAAAAGTCCAGATCTTCCTTTTGGCTATTCGTTTAAAAGTGTTTCGACTTTTGTGTGAAAGAAAAACATAAAAGTTAAGCAGCGGTGCTCCATTTATGTGTGAGATTTCTAATACTATATTTTAGCTGTTACGACGTTCTGGGATTAGCTCCAACTATACAGGCACAAAGTAATTCCAGAGCGTCCACGCATAATGCAAGACTGTACCAATTCGATTTGTTGACCCAAACATGAGCTATCCAAGATTACTATTTACCAACAGATAACAGATCTGCAGACTCTCTGCGTGTCTATAATTATAACCCTTATCTCTGTTTACTAGATACCCAATATCGAAATGTAAAAGGTAATTTGGCAGGCATACGTCTGCTTTCGATAAATTTTCTTCAGGCCTGTACATTTATATGGCTATTAAAGTAATGGGTTAAAAGATACGGTCAAGTAGATAATTAAGCCTTAGCTCGGGTTTGGGGAGGAGTCGGGAGGGAAGGGGTAGAGTGAAACAGCACACTTCCAGTTAGCGCCAGGGAGAAGGTTGGTCCTGGCGAAGGTAATTACATGCGGGTGGCTGGCTTAGTGGCTTTTAGCCATGGCAACTGTGAGAAATGTATGAAGTCCTTCTGTGCGCATAGGACCGACCAGCGTGGCCTGATTGCAGCCGTCTCTGCCGTAGCTAACAAGCGCTGCCCAAGTAGTTTTGAATAGCTTGACGGGACTTTGTAACTCAACCTGAAGGTCTCTCTGGTGTCTACACGGTGGTTTGTGTCTACCATGTGCACGAGGATCCAGCTGCTGATGTTCTTTATTTGACCCTTTCCTAACTATACTGGAAGAAGTTCTCATATTCTTTCGGACAAACGCCGGTTCGTGCGACCAACATATTCTGCCCCACAGGATCAGGTGAAGGAGTAAATACACATAGCGATGGTCTGAGCTGGTAGTTTGTTGTTGTCCCCTCTCTGTAGGATGGGACTGGTGGAAAACAGTACACGGGTATCAGTCGCTGGAAAGGTCTGTGAAAGGCCTGAAGAGAATTTAACGAAAGCAGACGTATGCTCGCCAAATCGTCTTTTGCATTTCACAATGGGAATTGCTGCAACTGTAATAATGAAATTTCATGATGGTCGAAATACTTAACAAATTAAGGTTTTCCAGGGGAGGAAATTGCCCATATCCACGTTATCTGCGCTGAACTTATTTGCACTTAGCAAGTTCGTTGTGGGGCACCGTAATTAATCATAATGAATTACTTCATTTTCTAACGTGTGAGTGAGCTCTTAATGAAGACGCTTATAAAAAACTGCTAGACGGAATTGCTTTGCGACTTTACTTAAACGTCTCACCGATGCCTGCAACTGACAGTCGATATTGGCAGTCGCCTGGTAGATAGCAAAGCACATTACTTGTATTCTAAATTTTGTGGCGTAAGTTTTGCGGCCATGTACCGTTTCTCGTAGTTTTCCAACGTTTTTCGTTGATGCATTTATTGTTTCCTCTCAGTAGCATCTTTTATCGCTACTAATGCTACGATGCAAGAATTAAATCGGTGAATAGCAGGTCAGTTTGAGCATTCACTGTACGCTGGTTCCGACTTGTACTTATGCTCTCGCGCACACTAAAATTTAAAATTCATCTGCAAACTGCGTTGTCGCCCTTGCACGGGGTCTTTTGAGCTCCACATGTGACCACTTTCAAATCTGACAGTTTGCCCAGACATACAATTCAAATGGCTACCAAGTGCAAAAGAAAACTGTCTACGTGTGCATTTCTGCATTTTTGCTAGCAGGAATAATTCTGAAGAAGAAAAATAAGAAGAAGGCACGATCGCTGAAACAAGAGCTTAATTCGCCTGAAGTTTCGCACTCCTTCGATAACCCACCACCAGAGACCACGGCAGATACATTGGTCCGTGCGAAAGGGGTTGCAGTATCTATAGGATGCGGTTGTCATGCTACCTCGAACCTGTGCAAATTCACGGCACCCCTCCTGATCAGGGGTCATTGCACTAAGTGTGATCCCTGTTCGATTACGGACATTCGGATATTTAATCGTTGCAGTTTCAGCACAGGTTTCGTATGTTGGTGTGATGATTGCTCCAGTATATTAACAAGTATAATGACCTCTCACTTCTATATTCAGTAGCCAAGCGGGAAGCGCACAGGCTAACAGCCTTCCGAACGCCAGTGTCGGTAGGCCGGATGGCGGAGCAATCATCACACCAACGTCCCACTCACGTGACAAAACTGCGGCCTTTAATTGCGCGAATGTCGGTCATCGAGCAACTATCACAGTAAGTCAATGATCCCTGATCAAGGGTGAGACGCTGTGAATTTGCACAGTTTTGAGGTAGCATATCAACTGCATCCTACAAATACTGCAACCTCTCCTGCATAACCTATCTGTATTAGCTATTGTCTCACGAGGTGGGTTAGGACAGGAGTCCGAAACACAGTCGAATGAAGCTCTTGTTTAGGCGATGGCGCCTTTCTCATGTTTTTACCCAACAACTATCAACGGCGGTATAAGAGAAAGCCCCGATATGTTTTATTTTTCTTCTTTAGGACTGCTTCCGGGGACACGTCTCTTCGTTTTTATTGGAAATAAAAATCATATTGCCAGGCTATCTGGCTTTTTATAGAAAAATAGCAAATACACAAGTTTTCTGTGCGATTTTAAGTAACCACCTCACCTCCGTCTGCGGCCGACAGCTGAAGTTGGGCCTTCGCGTCCTGAAGTCTGCTAAGTCCAACCTGTTCGAGTCTCTCCTTAGCCGCTGGATACTCTCTCAGCACATCCCATAGGTCCTCCTTGGATAGGCAAAATAGGTCCGCGTAACCTATTGATCTCACGGAAGCCGTGCGTCGATTGCCGATACTGCCGAAATTCAAGATGGAGATCTCTCCAAAGTAGCTGCCGGCACTGAGAGTTGCAATAACGCTGACCTCATCGGCTGCCAGAACCTCAAGTTTGCCCTGGGTAACGAAGAACATCTGGCGGCCAATTTGTCCTGGAGAGGAGAAGCGTGAAAACGCTGAAGGATGCAGTAAACGTTTTAACGCTGCTTTCAACTTAGGGTAGCGCAAATACAGGATTAATCTGCTCTTGCTAGGGGAACATATGACGACGGTTCTGACCTTTAGGAGAGATTTGAGACACATAAAACATATAAAGATGCGTCGCAACTTTGCGCATCTCCGGTTTGGGTTTAAGAAAGGATCTACAATTTTTTATCTGGAACCTTCGCTTGGTTTGTAGCAATAGGTACCCAATTGTTAGTGGGAATGTCTTCAGCAAGAGGATCACATCATGTAACATGCATATATATGAATAAGTGAAGGCTCTTCGGAAAATCGAGTTGTACTCGTAAATTTTCAAGTCGGTGACACCTGACCCGTCGTCGGACGAAATGAACAGAGGGCAAGTGAAGTCGGCAGACTAGGTCGGCTGGCGCGACAGGACAGACAACGACAAACAGACAGCTGATGTGTGAGAGGGGTGGGCACCTAGTTATGGTCGGCCGTGGGGCAGGGGGAGGGAAGGAAGAACCGTTAGGGCTCCCAGTGTTGGAGGTGGTGAAAACGCGGGGGGATGGGATTGCGAATCAGTGGGAATGCGGGCGGCTAGTCACTGATGCGGGATGAGGTCAGGGCCCAATGCGCCGGCGTTGGAGGTGTTAGGGGGGGGGGTTCGGTTGTTGTTCACCGTGTCGTAAGGGGGGAGCGGAATGGCGAAAGAGCATACGTCTATGTGGCCGAGTGGGGGTTGGCAAATGTTGAGGTGTGGGAACAAGACAGTGATTTACGGTCAGATTTAAAAACAGATATATGCAATGATGACCCAAAAGGTGGCCCAACGTTAATGGAGCTCGGACCTAAGCAGATGCGTTCATTTTAGACGTTCTGAAGCTGATTAATGTATATTTGATAGTGTTGTTACTGCATCTTCGCTACGAACATTTTCCAACGGGTTAAACAACCCACACTGAAAAAGTAATCCGTGTTCATATTATTTCTAGGTTTCAACTGAACTGGCAGGAGCTGTAAAAGGCCAAATAAGGCTTTTTCATGAACCTTAGAGCGTGCGACTTTAGTTGGATATTTCGCAGCATGCATTACATAAACCAAAAATATTTTCAACCCATGTTCATGACCTGCGCATAGATGGAATAATCGTCTGCAGGGTTAAAAACGTTAGACAAATGCTAAATATGGGTTTAAAAAGTTTAAGGAATAAAAAATTATTTTTACGGATAACGGACACCGTCAACAATGCCTTTTAATATCGCTTATTATTTGTCAAAATGAACGATAAAGATGAACTGTATATAACTTTTTCCCAAAACATTACATGATTGGATACTTTCAAGCATCAAAAATCTCGTGCAAGAAGAACATACTTTAGACAGCCGATTTAACCAGTCATATGTTTGACATCGCATTCCATGCTAAGCATCTTCGTGAGCAGAACAACGCATTCTTCTCTGTTGTATTTCATTTCATGCAAACGGCATTATTGTTTTCAAGTTTCTTTGCAAAATGTAAGTTAAGGTTTTTGGCATGTCGCAATGGTCGAAATATTCTTAACAATATTTAAACATACCGCCAATTCGAAATTCACTTGCGTCATCAGCAATGCTAGGCGGTTTTGGAAAGACATTTTCGCAGTCTTCCTAACTACATGGCATTTTTGGATTTCTTGTTAGTTGCTTTGGAACATATTCTGACAGTAAAAAATCTCACCTTAAGATCGGTCGCGATAACCGCCTGTCAATCCTTATCCCACATGAAATACAGCCATCTAAATGTCTAAGATAAGTCGCGTAAATTCGTTGCATGGATGGATTCTGCCAGTCAGTTCTGCTTTTATACTCCAGCTCGATGACCTTGAAAGTAACAGTGCATCGTTCATGATTTTATTTCCAAAACGTCTATTGTAAGGTATTGTGGGTGTTAATAAATCGTTTTTCTAATCGTTTTCTGGGATTTCCCATAGTTTCGTGGAATTAGGCTTGCATGCAGAAAATCCTTGAACCACTTTCCTTTTTACTATTATTTCCACCGACTTTATGGCATCTGGTTTCAATACGTGTATACTGCTGTTTCATACAAAATCTAATAAACATGTTATATGTCGGTGTGCTCGCCGTGGCGCTATGAGTATATTTTGAAGATGACAAGTTCTGGCTTTCCTAAAAAGGGCATGCTTCGCTATATATTTCGATTCTTGAACTTTGGTTACCGCACAGTCTAGCGACGCTGGAATTTTTATCTTTTCGATCACTTCAATTCGCATTGTCGTTTTACTACTCGGAATTCAGCGGACGATTCTTGTGTATAGATGTTTGGGCTTTTCGATGTTTCGTTTGTTTGCAATATCGTTTTCCTAGACGTTTCCACTAAGAGAAAACTCGGATTGGAGCATCCTGAAGTAATTATTTCCTAACTTGCATTCATTATACGGACTGGCGGGCACAAATCGGTTGCTTGTTTCTGTGGCTCCGGCATTCGTGAATCTTTTAGCCTGCATCCCCATTCTTAACACAACAGAATTATTCTCTGTGTGGGAGCAGTAATACTTAAGTCAATATTCAATTTCGTACGGCAGCGGGCTGCAAGGAACAGTCTCTCCAATAATCGGGTTTTTTAAAAGATAATTGAGTTTAGTAATCTTGTCTCATATCGCCCAGGTCATTCTATGAATCCCGAACTGGCGCCTTTCATCAACGTAAACATTCTGCCATTATACTATTACTGCCTTTGCGAGATCAATAGAATGGCAATGCCTCGACTCTGAAGAACTGCGGTCCAGTCTGCTAACCTGGTAGTCATCCAGATGTTTTTCTCTCAATTTTGCGAGACCTTTGTTCTCTCATGTTTTTGCTATAGTTTTGAAGTACGCTTTACTTCACTACTGATGTTCTTACAACAGAAGCGCACTCCGTCTCTTAAGTAGCAATAACCGAAATACGCATAGGTGCGAGTTAAAAAATGATGATTCAACTCTCTTATTTTTTTCTATCGAAACTCAATGGCTTAGTTGGTAACAAAGTGGTTGAGCATCTAGTGGCCTGCTTTTTCTAAAATTGTTGATGGTTGTTATAGTCGACAGGATATTTGTTTATGTAACAGCTGAAGAAAAATGATAAAAATAAGATTTTTTGTAAATGTCAAAAGATCAACGAAAATTATGGGTTCAAATTAAGATGAAAGGTCGTAATGGAGGCAGTCAAGAGGAATAAAATCTGACCTTTCCTGCAAATGTAATCACCAGGCGAGTAGAGGGCAGGCCGCAGACGCAAGACGAGTTCAGATAGGAAGCCCTCCTCAGCGTCCTGAAAAATGTCAACCCGTTTCAGCGTGTCCAGGTGGACATGAATGGCGATTTCTGCCTTCAGACTATCTGGCAGATGGCTGAAGACCTTCTGCTCATCCGGTATTCTGCTCTGACGCCAGAGGTAATCGAACCAGGAGATGACCTTTCGCTGCAGGGCCTCGGGAGCCTTTCGATCAATCAGGAAACTTTTGAACTCGTCCAGCTGACCTACAGCCATGCAAGTAAAAATGTCTGACTTCATAACTCTACCGGAACCAGTCTCAGGAGCAAGAAGGAAGACTGAAGGATTTGAAGCGGGTGGTATCACAATGCAAAAATATGTTAATAAACGCTCAGATTTATCCTACTAACAACCTCAGAGGGAAAATAAATTGTCAAATGCGTCATTTTAGCAAATAATTTTGTGCAGTGGTTTTTATGTTTCTTTGACGTGAGGTCACTGCGAAAGTGTTAAGCTGGTTTCAGCCTAGGTGAGGTTACTAACATGGAGTTTTATGTTCTCAGTAGGATTACCTCGTTAGATAAAAAAAAAGTCATAAACAACCATGCCAGATCTTTTTTGGAAAATGCATTTGTTCAGGTTAGGGAAGAAATCACTTTCTTCGCGCTGACTAACTGAAAGTCCTTTTCAAAGGTTGCCAAATTTAGTTTTTCCAGGTAATTCAAAACTGCATAATTTTTTATGTAAGATGGGAGTACGTTTACCTTCCAGTAAAAGATGATGTATTCCATATACTTTGACTAGCTCAAAACATGAAATACTGGAGGAGCAATATCATATTCTTACTGTTGATGTTAGTGAGTAAGATAAAGGTACAAGAAATGTTTGTTAACGTGCCCTGGTTCTTTCAAGAATTAACAAAGACTTTGGACATCTAGTTAAATCAAACCTATTCTTACGCGCGCAACTGTTGTTTGACGCTATGAGACCCCTCGAAAGCAAAAATATCAACCAGCCCGAAAGGCAAATTTGCACTTTTCCCAAGGCGAATTTTTTATAGTACCAGACCACAATCCATAATTTTTCACCCTCGTTCTTGTTTAAAACACCTCAGAAAGCTGACTGAAATAAAATTTGCATTTCTTAATAGATGTTTTATTACAGCGCTAAGCGTTTATAATTCCGCTTGTATATCGACATGAATAAACACATTTTTTCTATGATGTTTGTTTTCTTTGAGCAGCTTAGATTTCATCTTATTCCATCCTGTATGGTTTTTTTCCCATAAAAATACCCAGCGTTTTTTTTCATTTTCTTTCACTTTGGGGTCTTCTATTGATTCTCCACTTTTCTTCCCATCACATTTCATTGTTTAACTAATGTCTTCGCCAACGTTAAGCTCCCGAGTTTAGGCTACCATGAAAGGGTTTAAACAGATAAACCAGCACCTGAACGTATATCATTGCATGAAAGCCTTGCGTGATATTTCCCCACCTAAAAAGAATTCGACAGACGGATGTAAAACTATCATCTTAGGTGGTTACTGTGTCTGACATTTAGCTATCCCGCTTCAGCTTGCCATGGGAGAGGGTACACTTGTCAACTATGATGTCACTGGGGGCGTCTGTATACGCGTCAAAATCAGCTGTTTTTAACGACCAGGTGCCTGTGTGACCTTGGTTTCTATAGCGCCATGTACGTCTGCGTGATAGGCGCCTTGGCCTTCGAAAAACTTCTACGGCAACCTCTCGGTTCGTTTCTGCTTCGCTGGTCGCGGCAACTGACGCCTGAGCTACAGGGCGTACAAGCAGTCGTTTAGGCCGACCTACATCCAGGCGCCCACACACACCGACCAATCAGAAGAAAGCAGGTAGTCACTCTCCCAAAGAGCTGAGCCTCTGTTGACGGACCAAAGTAGGAGGTGTTGGTAATCAAACTACCTGAGTAATCTTTGCATATAATTATTCATGCGCTCAGAGGAGTTGAACCGAAGTACAGCAGATGTGCTAACTCATGGAATGTTAACCGAAATTTTGAAATTTATTTTCACCTCGAAAAGGTTACTTAGGTAGGGTTGCAATATTAATTACCATGCAACATAATTTCAAGACAATTTAGTTACTTCAGGATGCCGGCTTCCGCAGGAACATCTTACCGGTTGCCTGCAAACACCATACTCCGTAAAAAATAACTACTTAAGTAGTGTGAATTTTGCTCTTGAATCTTCCATGGCCTTATATATTGAAATATACTTCACTGGAAATACGCATACAAATTTTCATTCTTTCGTCCATTTTGTAGAACATTACGTTTTCTTTTAATGTTCTACTTAAGGAAATAGTATCATTTGGTTTTAAAGAACTTCTCCAATCTGCGAATGATATTGGACCCGGCCTACCATTGCACTTGAACTTAGGGTTTCCAAGCTTCATGCTGTATATTTTTCATGTACAAAGAATAATACATTTTATACGCTATTAAGAGCAAACCATATAGTGTTCATAAAATTTAGCAGTGAATTTGAACCAGATTATAAACTTTACAAGCAACATTAGTAAACGTAGCCACACGATGTTTTATGAAGGGGCATTTCACAGTCTGAAAAAATCTTGCGATTGAAAACCCTTTTTAAACCGACATATATCCTTTCGTCAAGTACAAAATTTGAACAAGACGTAATTTGCAACCACATAAAAGAAAGAACGGATATTTTGTGTGTGTTTTCTCTGACATATATTTGAATTTCCACGGGTATCGAAAGGCAATGAAAAAAAATTCACACTAGGCGTGCTGTCATTTTTTACAGTGTGCAGCTTTCGCAGTCATTTGTAAAGACGTTCGTACGGAGGCTGACATCCTGAAGCAACTGAATTGCAACTGTTGCATTTAATTGGCGTTGCAATCCGACTTAAGTGTGCTTTCCGGGTCCAAGACGCATTCCAAAATTTCAGTTAACACTTCAAGAGTTAGCATATTTGCTGCACATGCCGTTAAGATTTTCTTTTGCACAGAGTTTATCATGCGAACAGTCGCCTGTATTTATGGACTACATCAACAGAACGCACCAATTTCTCAGCGTGTTTCGGCCCAATTAGATTTCCCTAGGCGTCTGACTGTTAGAATAGAAAGTCTGAGATTTCGTACAAAGACATAGCCGGTCATTTTTATCTAAGTTAAAGAGCTGTCGTATTATTACCAACGACGTGTCATTTGCGTATTTAAACACATTGGAGAAAGCAGCACTTGCGCGTGGAATGGTAATGCGCAGGAAACCTGCGACAGATAAAGCACAAAACAGTTTTGATCATAGGTCAACGCTAAAAGCCCTTGGTTTTGGACCTACCAGCATCACCTATGATGATAAAGTTCCTTATCTGACAGCCTTCAACTAATAGCCCTTTAATTGTCGCCTGCAGTCCCATTTTTGGCAAACACGGATAATATATCGTCGTCCTTAGGCATGCAAGTTCATGAACTGTTTATCTATTGAAATGCCTACTCCTTTAGACTATTATTTCGAATTAATTAAAGCAACTAGCTCTTAATGGTGTAGATGTGGTTTTTCATTATTTCTGGAATCTCCACAAGTCATAAAATCGGCGACGCGTTAGTGTTCTATGAATTGAATATGTCTGAACCGTACACCTGGAAAAATCAAAATCTCGTATTCGGTCTCCATTTTGAATTAAAAAGTCAATTATCTGACAAGCAAGGCTGAAATCGTGACAGGCGTTGACATACTAACCTCCCTGTGACGAGGACACGATAATTTAAACAAGAGATATCGATGAAGGTTAATTGTAATTAGAATAAAACAGAGGTTGCTGAATCATCTGTAGCTCACGAATGGTTACGCTGGCAAGCAGGATGACGTGCAATCGGTTGGATGGTTTTAAAACGCATCGATACAAAGTTTGGTCGGCTAATATCAATACCGTGAGGATTTTAATGCTCGCCAAATGCAGGTCGCTGAAGTGATCAGCTGAATGATAGTTTCCATAAAATATATCGGAAAAAGGTCTATCGCTAGGGCACATGGTCATTCTTTCGAACCCGGAATGCACCTAGTAAAAGTCTACAGTAATGACATTCCGGCTATTTTTTTACATTGAACAATGGGATTTACACTTGTGGTTACCTAAACTGACTGATTGCGAAAACACAAATTGTGCACATAGGTTTTGTTCAGGAGACCAGCAACAAGGCGCTCAAAGTCCATCTTGAATTTCTGGCAGACCAAGGAACATGAGTACATTTCAGAGGTTGATCCTTCAAGAAGAATACCACTAGACACGTTTTAAGATCTAAGTTTTTATTCTCGTGCAATTTAGTTCATGTCTGCAAATGCGCCATAAATGGCCGCTTAAATGCTTTCTGCTTGCACCGTATTACTTACAGCATGTGGACCTCTTTCAAATGCGCCACATAAAATATAAATAGGCTGTGTGTGGTTTATCGCAATGCCAGAGCACTACACAACTCACTTACCCTGAAATTCGTTCTGAGTTGCGTCATAATTGCCTATAGCGTTGTTTATCTTTCCGTAAAGCAATGCAAGCAGCAGAACACCGATCAGGGCCTCGATGACGAAGTAGCCATAGATGAACTCGTTAAAGTCGTCTCTAGCGGGAATCGGATGAAGCATGATCATACAGCGTAAACTCCAAAACAGGGAATGCAGATAACTGGCAAAGGCGCACGGAACGTTTGAGGTGTCATTTGATGCCGGTCCAACGTTTCCGTCGTGATGGACAAGAGGAATATTTGAACGACCTCGAAGGTCCTCATGGAAACCCGCAGAATTCATGATGCAGCGATAAAGGCAGGCATTCCAGTGTATAAAAATAAGGTTGAATAAAATCCACCTGGCGACATGAAGCAAACTAGACCTCCTGACGATGCGCTCGGCTCTATATACAAAATCCCAAATTCGGTAGACTTTTACTGTGCGAAATATTCGCACCAACGAGTTGAGCCCTATTGAAAGGTACAAAAAGTCTAGGGGCAATAAGCAGAGACAGTCAATGTAGAATCGCGTAGAATTCATGTAATGTTTCCGCGTCTTCTGCGGGTCTCGCTGGAGTATTCCGTCCTGCAGAAACGGTGTCCGCAGACCCAGCAGAATGTCCAGAATGTAGAAGAAATCCGCAGTGTAGTCAAGCGTGAACCAAATTTTAACTGTGCTCGACTGCACCTCGTCAAAGGCATACCTGTAGATGATGATCCAAAGGTTGTACAAACTAACAAGACTTATCCAGCCAGACCACAGGTAGAGGAACCGACTGGAGGGAAAATGTGACGTGGCGGCCGGCCGAGGTGAGTAAAAATCGCGTCTCATGTGTTGAAACTGCTGCGGACCAGTCGAATACCTACTGGACACCTTGTATTCCTTCAGGATGTCCACCTGGGAGGAGTCGGAGGTGGTTGAGGGCACATGGTTGGTAAAGTCGTCGTCCTTGGAGGTCGCAGGACTGTTAAGCGACTGTTTGTTACAGTTCGTCAGCAGAACACCCTCCATTGCCTGAGGCGATGCAGCACCACAGAGGTGACTCCTGCTGCCGCTGTCCTCTCTGTCCTGGCCGGTTTCACAACCGCATGAACTCCAGTGGGCGGCGGACGCGCATTGGGCACGCATTCCAGCCTGGAGATTCTACGGGGGCGCTCAAATGAGTCACTTCTTCGGGCAGGTGAATGATCCGCCCACACACACTACCAGATGTCCAGCATTAGACAACTGGGTGGTTTGAATAAGGACAAAAGTGGCACACGCGCACACACACGCACACGCAAGTGCAATTCAAGCTTTTTGGGGGCAATACAGTCGAAGCAGGACTATTGGTTCTCCCTTGGTTGGAAAGCTGACCAATCATGTGATGTGCATTTTTGCCTGCCCTGGCCGAGGCGTTTTAAGACTCGCGGTCGTACTGAAGGGCGCAACTAGAATTTAAAGCACTTCCAAAATTAATGCTTTTAAACAATGAAAAACTTACTGCTATGGAATCGTGTTTAACGCCATGAGCAAGAGTAACTGCTCATGTGGACGTCAACGTTGTGCGCGCACTATCACGTTTGTTTTTTTTCTAATTTATACTCAAATTTATGTTCGGACATGTAACGCAAGTCATGTTTACTTTTACTACTGATAGACGAAACGGTCATTGAATTTTGGCATAAGGTATTCAAAGTTAACACCTCACCCCTTTAAAAGTTGTGAAGAAAAATCGGAAAGACTTTTAAAGCAGAATTAGGCAGCATAGAATAGTTGGAACATCTGTATTGACTGGAAGGGTTCATCGGCTGCTTACATTTAGCGACTTTACTTCCGTTCATAGATAAGACACCCTTACAGTCTCGTAAACGCTAACTCCTAAATATTTCATTCAAACGACGGAGCTTTGACTGAAACAAAAGAATTTTCTGGAAGACTGACTTTATTTCCTGGTATTTGATCAAAAGACTGTTGACGTTTACAGACCGCGCACAAAATATCCCGTGAGTTAGTCATATTCTGAACCTTTGAGGACTGCTGGGGGAATTTTTGCGGCTAACCTATCTTAATATCTTGTGACTTTTGAAAACAGTTTCCTCATAAGAGGATTTGTAGGATTTCTGCACATACCCCAATCTTACTAAGGCATTTTTCCTATGCTCCTAAGCCCCATCCTTTTGCGATGATTTTGATGTCTCACTGGATAACAGGATTGTTAGTGACGGGAATTTTAGCGTTTGCAGGAAATCTCTCATGTATGCCGTTCACGTTTGAGTCTTACTTAAACTTGCCTTACCATGCAGAACTTTTGCGCGTCCCTCCTAGTCATTCGGACAACTAGTCCGGTCCATCTCAGACAGGTGGGAATTCCACTTCAAACAGGAATGCCCAAATAATAGAACAGTTTAACATCACTCGTTCATTGACATTTCATCAAGAACGTTCGTTTTGCCCTTCAGCGAAGCATTTTTCCCAAATCCACACGCCTTTGGTGATTACACATTGTCTCGATTTTCACAATCACCTGCAAAACTCAGGATATGCAAGCGGAAAAAGTTCACAAAATAACGATTTCAGACGTACAATCGCTTGAAAGTACTTTAGACTCCAGTGAAGCTATTTAAAAATTGCGAAAATTGCTGTAAAAAGTTTCCGAAAACCAGTCAGCGAGTACACATTGGCCTTCAATACAGTCTCGTCAGACCGGGAAGTTTATATAAGAACAAAACACAAGTGAAACACGTGTGCTTTCGAAATGAATCAAAGTTCATCTTTTCGTGCAAATACGGCATGGAAATAGGGGAGGAGGTAATAAAAACAGTGATTGAGGAAGCAATGGGGGATAAGCGGAAGATGGGCAATGTTACTTTTTTATTTCCTTGGAAATTAACTAAGGGCTTGGGGTAAATCAGTATATTTAATGTCTGTGAACTCAGACCAAAGTTTTTTATGTATGAATATTTGGGCCGGAGTCCAACAACCACAGCGGATAACTGCATGATATTCATTGATTACCAACAGGCAGCTAGTGGTATACTTTAGGGTAAGGTGATTCTATAGTAACAGCAAAGCTAGTAGCCAAAAGCCCATACACGCGTGTTTCACCGATATTCTGCTTTCTGGAGTACCTACCAGAAAGCAGACAGGGAATAAGGGGGAACCCACTGACGAGCCGAACTCCTCGCAGCTGTGTCATGCAGCGGCAGAATATCGGCGAAACACGCGTTTATGAGCTTTTGGCTACTACCTGTGCTGTCGGTATGGGACTACTTTACCCTAAAGTGGAAAGTGTCATGTACAATTTATTGACCTTCGGCCACGGCAAGCGCGGGACTCGCGCGAGCTCCTTCTGCGCGTACAAGTTCAACTTCCCTGACCTGATGGCAGTCGCCCCTGCCGCTATTATCACACGATGACCTTGTGAAACCTTTTAAATCCCAAAGTCAGCTCAGCTGAGGTTCACATGATGCTCAGGCTTTACAAGGTGTGTAGGGATAGCGCTGTTTATGCTGTTAAACTCGCCTCTTTACAGGCAGGCGGCGGGTAGTCCCGTATCCTTCTGGATAGGTACCTACTCATTCGACCAATACAACCTCACCTATAGGAGCAGGTAAAGGAGTAAATGCACATGCATGTGGTCTGAACTGGCAACCTTTCCCTACATTCTCCGTGGAAAACAGGCTCCTAGTGCCAGGAAGGTTCACGAGTTCACTTGCCACATCCCCTTCAAACAGGACTTTGATGAACGGAGTTCTTTGTATATCGCCAGTGTGATGGGGGTTTCTCAATAGTATTCTTTCCAATGAATTCGTCAAAATGTTATTCCTACGATGCAGGTAGTTGACCATTCTATGTTTTTCGTCAATGTGATATGTTAAGCACATTTTTTCGGCACGCCCCGTCAAATAACAAACTAGATTGCGTTTTTTCTGAGGGTATCCTAACGCGCAGAAATTGCCGTATTGTATGACATAAGTTTTATTTCCTATGTACTATCATCCGAAAAACGGCTATTAGTTCTTCTGTTCAGAAGGGCCTCTAATCAGGGAAGCCGTCTTGCTCGATAAATGTGTCTGATTTACAGCATATGTGAGGCTATTGCGAAGACGTTATCTATGTAGCAAAGTAGTTTTTAACCTAATGATCTGGTCGTGTAAGTGAAACTCCTCAAGCTTGCCAATGAAGACAGTGGCCTAATTAACTGTCAAAAAGGAACTGCACATTCGTTGCGAACTCGAATAATAGTTCCTCGAGTGTGTTCGTTGGCACTCCCATTTCCTGCAAACTGGCCGATAGGTATTCGCAAATCGTATCGACTGTCTCTGTGACTGATACCTTAATGAATGGTATTGGGATTTCTACACAATTAAACTTAGGACCGTTCGGATTACGGAACCCGTTGATCGAATCTCCTCGCAACAATCGGATAGCAGCCGGTGTCTTTCGTCCTTTGCTTTTACAACTAATTCGATCGGTCCTCGACATGTGATCTATATCTCAGGATATGTGCTCGTCTGAACTGAAGAAATTGTTTACTACTTCGGACATATTTTAGGACATGGGATACGGTTCCCTGCATACTCTGGCCTCGATCCTGGCTCAGGTGGGGAAGTCGGTTTGGCAAAAAAATACTCCGGCTCTCGGTTTCTAGTTTCGACGAATATTCTGCTCAAATCCAAAGTCATCGCAAAGGAGGAAAATAAATAAAAACATCTAGGGATTTCTCTGCGGACGGCGTTTTATTTCAGCCAAGTACTGGGCTTAGTATTATTTAGTGTTAGTTTTTGCAAATTAATTATCATTCACATATCCTCTATCAATGAGATAACCCGATTCCGTTTTTATAACAAGGATGACATGGACTTATTCAACAAATCCTACCTCTGAATCACACAGAACACCCTAAAGGGTCGAAGTTAGAAAAAACTCACGTAAAGATTATTTACTAGTAATGATATTTATAGGTCTAATTGCTCTGATCTTTCGAAAGCTGGCCTACGGGTTATCCAGGCTTTTGGACCAAAAAATGGCAGGAATACAAACTAATGTTTTTGGCAGCCAAATGAATGGTTGAAATTGCCCTTTTAGGACGGCTGGCAGTATACTGCGTAATTCGGTCTCTGCATGACAATCGTACAGTGGATGATGGTAGGGGGCGCGCACCGATTGTATTTTCCAGATCGAAAACCGAGAGGGCAACGGGCTCGTGGCCCAGTGGGTAGAGGCGTGGACATCTAAACCAACAGGTCGCGAGTTCGAGGCTCGGGTATTCCACACTTCCGGTTTGGGTATGGCTGGCTGACGACGGCTTATAAGCCAGAAATTGCCATTCCGATCTCCCTTGTCTTTGTCGGTAATATCATTCTGCCGTACAGTAGATGTGCTAACTCATGAAAAGTCAACCAAAATTACGAAATGCGTTCTCGTTTCGAAAAGATAAATTAAGTAGTGTTGTAAAACTAATCATGATGCAGCATAAATCTATAATGATCCAGTTACCTCAGGGTGTCGGCTTTCAAAAGAACTTATCAAATAAACTGAAATGCAAGATCTATACTCTGCAAAAAATGGCAACTTTAGTAGTATGCAATTTGCTCATTGATTTTCGATGCTCTTGAAAATTCAATTATATTTCATGGAAAACATGCATAAAAATATTCATTCTTTTACTTATTCGGTAGAAAATAACGTCTTCTTCCAATTTCATATTCAAAAAAGAGTATAATTCGGTTTTAAAAATCTTTTCTAATTCCGGAATAATTTTGAACCCGATCTGCTGCTACACTTGCATTCTGGATTTCAAAACTACAAGCTGTATATTTTATGTGTACGAAAACCATGCATTTCTCTATGGTGTTAAGAGGAGACCATACGATGTTCATAAAATTAAGCAGTTGATTTGAGCAATAATGTTGACTCAACAAGCCACATACGTAAATGCAAATGCATGACGTTTCATGAACGGCCATTTAATGGTATTAAAAAATCTCATATTTAGAGACTTTTTTAAAACCGAATTGTACTCTTCTTTTGAGTACGAAATTGGAAGAAGACGTGATTTTCTACGGAATAAGTAAAAGATTGGATATTTTATGCATGTTTTCCATAAAATATAATTGAATTTTCAAGGACATCGAAAATCAATG